AGACAGAGACATAACCAAAGACATAGAAATAGACATAAAAATAGACTTAAGATATAGATATAAACAAAGACACGAGACATAGATATAAACAAAGACACAAGCCATAGACGTAGACAAAGACAGACAAAAATAAACCTGCAAATTCAGTGGTACTTACCAGTCTCATCCTTTCGCAACTCCTTCCAAAGCCAGGCCGGGGGTCCTAGCTGCAGCTCTACTGAGGTGGCCTAGAGGGACAGAGCACGGAGGCGACGCGGAGGAAGGTGGAGGCGTTCAAACGTAGCCGGGGCTCCGGCTCCAACAGGTGGCGAAGAACTTTCCTGTACGACGGCTTGACGTCACGGCACTGGTCCGTGGTGGTCAGGGGGTCCAATCCCAACGGAAAGCATCTGTAGACCAGCAGGCACATGGTGACCCCAAGACTGTACATGTCGAGCTGTGGAGGAGAGAAAAGTACAATCGTGTATTAGTAAGGAGGTTTAGCAAATCATTTTTAAGGCATGGGGTACATTATTAGTGGTACATATATGTATGTGTGTGTGTGTGTGTGTGTGTGTGTGTGTGTGTGTGTGTGTGTGTGTGCATGCGTGTGTGTAGGTGCGTGTGTGTATGTGGCTGTGTGTGTGTGTGTGTGTGTGTGTGTGTGTGTGTGTGTGTATAGATAGATAGATATATAGATAGATAGATAGATAGATAGATAGATAGATAGATAGATAGATAGATAGATAGATAGATAGATAGATAGATAGATAGATAGAATAAAATGTATATTTACCTTGAAGGGACACATGCACCGTCCTGTCCTAGTCTCAGGCCCGTAGAAGCCGCAGGTAGACACCCAGCTGGTCACCTTCTTCTCTCCGTCCTTCAGTCTCCGCGCCAGTCCGAAGTCTCCCAGAGCTGCTCTTCCGTCGCCGTCGAGGAAGATGTTGGCCGGCTTTATGTCCTGGTGGTAGATCCTCAGTCTGTGGATGTAGTCCAGGGCTCTGGCAACATCTGCCACATATCCCAGAGCCACCGAAGACTCCACGGGGAAAGACTTGTCTACCGTACCGTGAGGGTAATACTTCAGGACGATGAAGCCTTGGCGAGGGGTGGAAGCATACGTCACGAGAGACATGACGCGGTCGTGGCTGAGGCATCGTAGGGCAGACACCTCGTCGTGAAACTGGTCCACCATCGCTTGCTTTCCGCTCTCGAAAGAGATGATCTTCACAGCAACTTTCGCAGAGGGGTCCTTCCTGTTGGAGGCCAGAACAACTTGAGCAGAGCCGCCTCGTCCCAGACAGGGGCCCTTGTCCAGGTTGAACGTTCCTAAGACGTGGTTCTGCTCCTCGGAGATCTCCATACTTGCAAAATATTCAGACTCAGAAAACAACTTCGATGTGGATCGCTCGAGTGTTCAGAGTGAACTGACCACCAGAAAGAAGAAACTAACTGGTCAAGTCTGTACACAAAGAAAGTGGATTCCACGTTTTGAAAATTCGAGGTTTTGTTATCAAAATCCTTTAACTGACGGTAACCAATCAGATCTGGTCACGTAGTAAAAGACACCCTCAGGGGGAATAGGTCCGGTGTCCGTGGCTTGTAGCGGCTTACATCAAAGCGTGTTAACTGATCAACACCTATTGTGCAACCAGGCTGGCTGGTCAGTGACTGACCAGGCCTTGAAATTTTAAAAGAGGATTTTTTCTTTGTTAGGATATTTTGGGAAGTTCTTGAGAAAATATTGAGTCGGCCTTTTGAATCTATGGATAAGACTCTATTGTCTCGTTTTGAGAATTGGTTCAGCAGTGCGAGAGGTGTGAACCGAGAGCCTTCGTCCGTCTTTGTTATTGTTGGTAAAAAACAACAACAACAACAACAACGCGAGAGACCTCCTTGCCATAGGGCAAGTTTTCAAGAGTGATTAAAATGTTCCTAGCTTTAGGTTGTGTATATATCTCAGTTAAATCTTTCGACGCAGTAAAGGTCATAGGGTGGCCAGGAAACGAACTTTAGTTTTAGTTAGAGTTTAGCGGCACTTGCAACATACTACGGTAAACATAAAAGAGAATAGAAACAAATAATTGAATAATAATAGTAGAAGGGAAAAAGATAAATTTAAACAACAAGAAAGAATACAATTGTTTATTGGTAAAATAAAGTTCTTTATTTTCATCCATGACGAAATATGTTTACAAATTAAAAAACAAACAAAACAATTCTGCGTGTCGCGTAATTTCAGACACAGGAGTCTGTGAATAACACTATACGCTGAACTCTTGCACGACATTAACAGACACAATATATCAAATCAGCAAACAAAAGACGAAGTTGCAGCACCTTGCAAACAATCAATCACAATCTTAGTAAACCTTAATTTGCATATTTCGTAATATGCATGCCGTAGCACACGTTTTTCTTTTTCAGTTTCAGAGAAATAAAATTGAACTGAAAAATCTTCTTAACCAACAAAATTATGCTTCTATTTATTTACCCTAAAAAAGTGCGTCTTATATTGTTGTTTCGAGTTCAGAATGCGTGTCCTTTATGAGTGGGCCTAAATGGTTACAGCCCCTTTGATACAATCAGCATTCACAAGGTAGGGTTTCGGCTCAGCTTGTTACGGCTAATTTGCACATTGAAGGAGATACAGCGTCCCAATGTGTAACCGGGATATCTGGTTCGGCGTGGGGTGGGGATGGGGGTAGGGGCTTTGGAAATGATGAATGTGAAGTCTTTGTTTTGATTTGAGATCTCTTTGAGAAGTATGTGAAGGTGAGAACATGAGTCCTTTATAGTCTTTGTTTATTTTTGTTAAAGAAAGGCGAGAGACCCCTTCTTATTAGAAAGTTTTTCAAAATATGATGATTAATTTGATAGGCCTATAGAGAACATATCTTTTCTTTTTTAACTGGTCAGTGTGGCGATTAGTTTGATAATTTTTTTTAAAATTCTGCATGCAAAGTTTAATGCCGCGGGGCGGAAAACTTCAAATGGATTTTGCGTTAAAGCAATTATGACTTGCTTATGTGTTTGTGTGTGTGTGTGTGTGTGTGTGTGTGTGTGTGTGTGTGTGTGTGTGTGTCTGTGTGTGTGTGTGTGTGTGTGTGTTTGGGAGGGGGGTTGCAGGCGGGGCTAATCGTGGCGTTAGACTCGACACGAGAGACGTCACCATCTGATGTCACTCCCAGTGCAGGTACCAGCGGTTCTCGACACCCACTGCCGGGAAAGGACCAGCACTTGGTTCCGACGGTACCGCAATGTAGAGGTGGGCAAAATCCGGATAATCTATCCGGATAACCGGATAATTTTCAATGAAACGTTGTCCGAATTCAGACTCTTAACTTCCTTTCCTAACCCGCTTCCCAAAGTGGTTGCACCCATATTTTGTTGAAGGGATGCTAACTCGTTTGTCGAAGTTGTTCTTACCCATTTGTCGAAGCGGTTCATATAATATTATTTGCCGAAGAGGTGCATTAACATATTATACAGATTTCGCTAAAGCGACTCATTACCCAGCTCTACCGCCTAGCACTACTATGTGAGCAGCAAGGGACAAACAATGTTGAGTACCGTAAATTGCTCCTCAAAAGGAGTTCACTGACGTTTAATGACACTCTTCCACGTCAGTCGTTAGCATAACAAGGTTGTTTATACATCACTTGGTTCTGATTTCTGTTGTCCAGAAAGGGCAATAATTTTAATTTTATCGGCAGCCGACCTTTCGGAAAACTGGCAGAAAAGGCGTCCCAATAGCGTACGGTACCTCAGAATTACAATGTTTTATCTGACATTTGTGGCCGTTCTGAATAATTAAGAGTAAGACCATGAGGTCAGAAACCAAATTTTCTATCTGCTCTTATCAAAATCGTAAGATTGTTCAGAGTCGTTATCTAGATATTCAAAGAATATTGCATTTTAAAAAGCTGGAAATTAGAGCTGGGCGAAGAGTCGATTCCGGAACCGATTCCCAAGATTAATACTGCGGATGTAAAGTTCCTTATCCACTTTTATGTAAACCAACAGTTTTATCATTAAAATTGTATTTTTTTAAAAAAAGAATTTATTTTTGAAAAATGAAAGTTGATGCTTCGTAGTGTTCCGAAATCAAGGCCATCCTAAATCCTGAAGACGTTCGGAGCCAACCAGGTAACCACCGGAAAAAAATCACATCATTAGAAAAATAAGTAATTGGGTTCGGAGTCGATTCCTACGATTCCTAGCTTTCAATAATCGGGAACTCATCCGCCTAGCACTACTGGAAATATTGTGAAACTCAAAATTTTTAACGTCCAATTTCTCAAAAACTAGGCACTGAGCATATATAACTTTGTAATTCTAGGGTTAGCGAATAGTAGCACGAGCCAGCTGTACTACAGTTTTGGTCAGATCTTAAATACGTTTATTTGTGGAAAGGGGGGGGGAGACCTTTGTACAAGAAGAGTTTCATATTAACGGGCCGTGGCGACTAGTCATTCTTTGCAGAGTCCTAAAAACATTTAATTTGATAATCTGTTAGGTTTTACTATCATTGTCAGCGGTGATAAAAATAATTGGATGAACGAGAAAGTGCGTGTGTTCACTGTGCACAGCAAGGGGTGGAAGATTCTAAAACAGTATTGACGGTTTCTGCTGATTATTTAGTTAAGAAACATTTCATGTATTTGATGAAAATTGTGGTCAACAAGCAATCAGAATTAGGCTATTGTGTGTCACCCGTGCCACTCGACATAGTTGTGGGGTCAGATCTTTTCTTGGCGTGCGGAATGCCAATGGCCCATACCGAACTTAATTACTTAAACTCGCTATGCATTGGCCCTAATGAACTTCTGGTAGTGGTTCAAGTTTCATGTTGTTTTTTTTTTGGGGGGGGGGGGGGGGGGAGGGGGTTGTTATCGCAGATGCCCGATTCTTGAAGGATAGGAACCCTAAGAATCGAGTACGAACCCAATTACTTTTCTACAGTACTGATGTGATTTCTTCCGGGGATTCCATGATTTCTTCTTTCAGGTCCGACCCTGGTCAGCTACGAACAGCTTTCACTTTTCGGTCCACGGCGAGGCACCAATTTTTCTTTTCTTCCTACAATAAATTCAGATATAAAACATTTAATTAAAAATAAATAAAGTAATCGGTAACTGTTGGTTTACGTAAAGAGGAATAGGTAGGCCTACTTTTCTTCCGTAGAACCAGTGGGGTGAATCGGGTCCGGAATCGGAAATCCAATGAAGCAAAGCAGAGATCTCAAAGATACAATAATTTATTACAACGTGCAAAAGCCAGCGCCATTTTCCGATTCGATCTGATCAAGTAGATCGGACCTGTTTGACCCATGGGCATCTGTTCTAAACATGACACATGCACGGTTGAGCTGAGGAGTTTTCATCTTCTCTTCCGTCATTATATTATCGTTCCAGCTGATGTGCACTGTTCTATCTACAAGTAGTCAAACCTGCCCGAACTGTCACCTGTATAAAACAATCGCCTAAGCAAGACAACCACCTGTACAGACTTTGTTCCTGTAAACGGTACTTCCCACCCACCCCCTAAAAAAACCCATCATTATAATGATACTGTGTAAGACAACGACCATCTGTCTAAGACAGTCAATTTTCTCCTCGACAATGGGTGACCGTCTCTGTCAATTTCGATTGTACTTATTACTGTTACTGTTCCATTATAACGATGAGTGACTCGTGTGCCAACTCGGCTAATGTACGCTCGTGAAATCCCATGTGTGTTTAGCTCTCAGCCATGCCAGCAAATTATATAACGCTAAAGTTTTTCTCTGCGCACTTGTATCCGATAAAAGTAAACGGTTGGTGCCATGTCTTACAGGTAGGGGGTAGGCTACATCAAAATATGACAACAATTATGGATGCACGCAAAAACAAAACAAAACAAAGCAAAAATAATAACATACAAAATAAAAACCGGAGGTTTTACTAGCCTTTAACACTCTTAAGTTTTTATTTTTAGTAAGAGTTTTACGGCACTTGCAACACAAATAGGTCATGTAAGTGCCGAATATCACTAGAGAATAACAAACAAAAGAAAGAAGGGGAGAAATATGGACGTTAGATGTTTGATGGGAGAGAAGGAGCAGACCATACGAGAGCAACTGCCAACCACATATTTTTACACTTAAGCCTATGGTGTTTAATTAATTGACCTTACGTTAACTTGACATAATGGAAGATTGTTTCGTTGTCTCTCTCTCTTTTCTTCTCACCGCCTCCCTCTTCTCTCTTCATCAACCCCCTCCCCCCTCCCGAGCGGTTTCAGGTAGCCACTTTGAAGTATTTTAGTTTGTCACCTTCTACATTTCCATGCAGAACCATATAACTTTATTATACACATATT